CATGTTTTAGTGGGGACCGTCCTGTGTACTGTACAGTGGAGAGCAGCACCCCTGATCTTGACTCTTGAGATGCCAGTAGCAACCCTCCCCATGGCTGTGATGAGAAATGTTTCCAGAACTTCCAAAATATCCTTGGGGACAGAATTTCTCCCAGCACTGGTGTAGAGACCATGAGTGGGTAAGACAAGTGAGTGGAGAAGCATCCATGCCTCCTGTAGGGCCTCTGGCTATAGACCCTTCTCTTCTGCAGATTTTGAGCCACTGCCTCAGGTCCTCACAGAAGTCTACTTCCTGCTCAGCAGTTCCTGTATCATCATTCCTGACCTTGGACTTCTCGTAGCCCTGGCCACAGTCCAGGCTGGGGGCTCATCCTCCTGAGGCCCTGCAACCCGCCGCCTCATTGAGGCTGGAGTCAGGATGCAGGACGGTCACAGACCATCTGGTGTCAGAACACATGACCCCTCCCTCCCCAGACTGAGGGGGAACCAGAGGCCCAGGAGGGAAGTGCCTGGCCACAGTCTCACGGTGGCAGAAGCCACATCTCCTGACCCAGGCTGAAGCACCCCTGGCAAGCAGGAGTTCCAGAGTCTGAGGCCAAAGGGTTCTCTCTGAGGCTCCCACTCAGGTCCCTCCTTCATCAGAGGGGAAACTAAGGCCTGGGGAAGCACTTGCTGGTTAAAGAATGAGGCAGACCAGAACTCAGATGTCTTGACTTCCCAGGGAGATGGATATTTGTTTGAGTCATTATTGAGTATTTACTGTGTCTTCAGAGCTCTTTCTATTTGCTATTTCAGAACCACTCCTACATGTCTACACCCTATCACTGAGTTTTATAAGATACAACTAGGTGGGCAGCAGGCAAGGGAAGAGCCCACAGGGGTGGATGACACGGTAAATCTGCATCCAGGTGCACCCAGACAGACAGCAAGCCAGGGGATGGGTATAAAGTATATGCATAGTGCCAAACAGCCAAGGAGCTTTTGTTCCAACCCCACCTATACAGAAAGGAAGTGAGGGGAGCTAGATGGTCCAGACCTGGAAGCACTATGTCCTCTGGGCTTTGTGCTCCTCTGCAGGCCCCAGCAGCAGGAAGAAAGGGCAGGGAAGCCAAGTGTGGTGGCGCACACCTGTAATCCTAGCACCCGGGAGGCTGAGGCAGGAGGATTGCTGTGAGTTCGAGACCAGCCTGGGCTATATAGTGAGTTCCAGGTCAGTCTCAACTACATAGTGAGACCCTGTCTCAAAAAACAAAAACAAACAAACAAAAAAAAGAAGGGGCAGGGAAAGGCCACTCTCTGGTTCCCATCTCAGCTCTACTGGAATTTGTTCAAGATGTCATTAGAAACAAAGAGCTGTATTGTTTAGAAACAAGTTGTTAAAACAAGATCTGGAGCTAGACCCTGAGCCTTCTGGGGCTCCCTGAGGTCCCTGGAAGACTCCCCACGTGCTGGTTCATGGAGATGGACCTCTGAGGAGATTTCCCTAAAGGCAGCCAGATGACTTTAAACAGAAGAGAAACCCTTTGAAAGCGCTGGCCCTGTATGTTTGACTCCTTCTTGTACTGGTCAGTACTTCTCTGTGCTGTTCCTGAGCTACAGTTGGGTGGCAGGGTGAGGTGTTACCAGGGGAAGGGCGGACCCGGCCTGCTGAACAAAGCAAGGAAGCGTGACATCACCACAGAGAGGTAAACTGAAGGACACTTCCTCTTTCAATTCCATGGGCTGCTGCCCGATCCAAAAGATTCTCAAAGCTGCAGAAGCATGCCTAGATGCGGGCTCAGGTGGCTCTTCTGGGGTCGCCCAAACTGAGAGGAAGAAAGGGTTAAAAACAAATAGGTAATCTGTGTGAAAGGATACTGCTGGGTCCCAGAGGTGGCTGACATCAGTCTTGCCCTGAACCACCCCTTTCAGGTGAGGAAACTGAGTCCCACGGCTTTTAAGTGAGGCCTGAGCAGGTGAGCTATTAACATCATGAACAGATAGTCCTCACACAGTAGCTCTCCCAGGTTCGAAGACTTCACTGACTGAGCAATGTCTTCTCACTGTCCTGTTGCAGACCTGGACATTTCCTCTAGATCCTACTTCCTGTAACGATTGCAAAGTGGGAAGGACAGCAATGTGAGGACCTTCATCCTGCTCTCAGCCTTCTTCTGCCCTGTAAAATGGGTTAATGATACCCAAGTCAGACAGGTTCATGAGTATTAGTAAGCCATCATCTGGAATAAAACTGGCCTTTCCCTCCTCCCTCACTCGTCACCTGCCACGTAGCTCAGGGTACTGCACCTGTGGTGCAGACATGCATGCAGGGACTTCCGCCCTACCAAGCTACTCTTTTCTGTAGCAGGCCTCTCTACTGTCCCCTAATTTAACTCAATTTAATATTATTTAGTTGATGACAGCACCAGATCCTGCAGACTAAGGGCTCAGCTTTGTACGATGGCAGGTGCAAGGCATATGTTCTCACTTGAACTTGAAACTGACTGGCTGCAAATCATGGTATCTGTAACCCCTTCCTTGCTTTCCATTAATCTGATAAAGTGAGGCAAGGCTCGGTAACACTTTATTTGCATTTACCTGTTTACTACAAGGGAAATCACAAAGGATGCCGAGGAATTGACAGATGAAGAGAGGCAGTGGGTGAGGGACATGGGGAGGATGTAGGGCTCTTGTGCATCTTCATGAGTTTGGCCTTTGGGAAGCCCCCAAATCTTGTCCTTTGGATTTTTAAGTAGTGTCATTACGTGCATGTTAGACTATGTTACTGACCATTGGCGATCCACTCAACTTTCAGCCCCTCTCTTCTACTGGGGAGCGGGACCCCTGGGAGTCACCTATAGCCACCTCTCTGTTAGAGAGGCTAGGGTAACAAACCTTCCCAGAGCAGCAGCACTTTCAAGCTGATGGAACGAAGTTTCAGCAACAGAGTATGGACATTCTATTCTACTGCCCACCATGGGGTCGCTATACCTCTCTGGATGAGTGGACATAGGGCTGAACTCCTGGCCCCAGACTCCTTGTGTTTTTCTAGTACTGAATATCAAACCCAGGAGTGACCTACAACTGAGCTACATCCCCAGTCCCCACTTTTTAAAAATTTATTTTGAGACAGGGTCTCACTAAGTTGCCTAAACTGACCTCTACTCATGATCATCCTGCCTCAGCCTCTCAAGTAGTTGAGTATATATATTAGGCAGCTTTCTCATTGCTGGGACAAAATACCAAACACCCAAAACTTACAGAAGAGGTTTATTTGGGCTCATAGTTTTAGTGGGTGTAATCCTGGTAAGCTGCTTCCAAGGCAGAAATGTCATGGCAGGACAGCATGGCAGAGGAAAGCTGATCACCATATGATGGCTAGAAAGCAGAGAGTGAATGGAAGATCTGGACAAAATATAATTCTCCAAGTAATAATCCCACTGATCTGCTCCTCCGACTAGGCCCCACCTCCCAGGGTAAGACTTTGGTGGGGCATTTTGGATCTAAACTGTAACATAACATTCTGTCCGTGGACCCCAAAAGAGCCATGTCCATCTCATTATGCAAAATACATTTAGTCCATCTATAAGAGTCACCAAAGTCTTAACAGTTCCAATGTTACTGAAAAGCCCAAGTCTAAAGACTCCTCTGAGACTGAAGGCAAACTCTTAGCTGTGAACCCCTGAGAAAGTAGAAAAGAAAATTAAACACCTCTAATATACAATAGCTCAGGGTAAATATTCCCATTCCAAGAGGGAGGAACAGGGGAATATACAGAAATCATATTAAAGTAAAACCAAAACCTAGCTAACATTGAGTCCTATAGCTCCATGTCCAGCACCTACAGCAGGTTGTGGTGAGATGTGAGCTCTAAAGGGTTTGGATTGCCCTTCCCCTGTGGCCTTACTAGTTGCAGCCCACCTAGCCTCTCTCTTAGGCTGGCTCCATTCACTGCCTGCAGCTTCCCTCAGAGACACTCCTAAAATCTCCGCTGTACCTTTGGCTTTGTATTCTCACAGGTTCATGCATCACCCTGTCAGGGCTACCTACCAGAGACTGTGACCCTGTCACACATTTTTGCCTAACCTCTTAGGCTTTTTTCTAAAATCTGAATGGAAGCCTCTGTGACCCTATGTCTTGCATTCTGCATGCCTGACAAAGCAACACTTGGTAGGTGACACCAAGGTCAACCACCAGCTTGAGCAGTAGCTGGGCCTCCCTGTGCCATGGCTGCAGCAGCTTCTGAGTGCTTAGATGGCTGAACTTGGAGATATTCTTCCCTAGGTGGTCTTGAAAGGCAGAGAGTCTCAGGGTCTCTCTTCTTAAATACTCACTTTTGCATCCTTGAGTCTGGTGGTCTTGTTGATTTCTGAGATGTCCTTAAGGTAACTTTCTTCTTGTCCATGTACAAAGTACTTGGCTTATTTTTTTTCATTGAGTGTATTGGTACTTTTTAAGTTACAGTACAGTTACATTCATCATTAGGATCTTGTACCTTTACATGACAGATCTTGGTTCTCATTTTTTCACCGTACCCCTGCCCTCCTTTCACCCCTTCCACCCTCCCAATTTACAAAGACTTTGTTTCCATTTTTTCCTTTTCTCATATTTTTTCTTTCCCCTTATTTCCTTTTCCCTACCCTTCCTACTTCCCCTACACCATTAGCCCCTTTCTTCCTATTTCACATTATCAGTTATAAAAATTGGATCTTACTTACACTTTTAGTTCTTCACACCAGAGAAACTATTTAGTATTTACACACATGTGTCCTATTTATTTCACTTAAGATTATGGCTTCAATATGCATCCATTTTCCTATGAATGACTCTATTTTCTCATTCTTTATGGCTGAGTAGTACTCCATTAGAAAAAACACATCTTCTTTATCCGGTCTCCAACTGATGGGCGATTGAACTGTTTCCAGGTTTTAGCTATTAAAAACTGTGCCACTACAAACATGGGTGTGCATATATTGCTGTGGTATGATTCTTTCAAATCTTTTGGAAGGATATCCAGCAGAGGGAAAAAATATGGAATGCTTCACAAATTTGCATGTCATCCTTGTACAGGGGCCGTGCTAATCCCTGTATCTTTCCAGTTTTAGTATATGTGCTGCTGAAGTGAGCACTTGACTTATTTTAATGCTAATCTTTCCAGCAACCATGCTGTCCTCTGCCTCCAACTTTGTAGGCACTTCCTTTGTTATGAAACAGTAAACTTTTCAAATTATTTAGTCCTGCCATTTGCTCCCAATTCCCACTGCAGATCTGACTAAAAGCAATCAGCTGCGCCCATGTCAGCATGAATGTTGGGCTGCCTTGAAATTTCCTTTGTTGGCTTAATTAGTGCACTGGCTTAATCTCATTCACCTGAAAAGTTTCAGGAATGGACAAAATGTTGGCAAATGTTCTGCTTGGGTGAAACACATGTGGCCTCTGGGCCAAATGCCAATGGAATTCTTGTTCCCAAGTGAACGCCCCCCTGAGCCTGGTCTTTACTGTCCACATTACTATCAGCATTCCATGCTTCTGAGCACGGACCAATAATTGCACATAAGCACTGCTTATAGCAATCTAGGGCTTCTGTAGTTCACTTCTTCACAATTTTCCAAACTGTTTCCCCAAACTAGGTCTAAACTCTCCTGAACTACAGTTAGACATATTCATAACAAGGACACCATTTGTGGTACCAGTTTTTTGTATTAGCTTTTCCACCACTGGGACAGTAACACCTGATACCCACAACTTAAAGGAGAAGAGATTTATTTTGGCTTGCAGTTTCAGTAGGGTCAGTCCATGATTGACTGGCTCTGAGGCAGACGTGCCATGCTGGAGGAAAGCTGTTCACCTCCATAGTGGCCAGGAAGCCAGGAGGCAGAAAGCGAAGGGAGGAATCAGTGACAAGAATAAACTCTTCCAGGTCATGATCCCAGTGATATTAACCCTTTCAAACTCCTGTCCAACTCCAAATGTGAGACCTTTGGGGGCATTTTAGGTCTGAACCACAACACAAGAATTATAGGTATGCATCAGTGTGCCTAGCCTTGAGCCTAAGCTTTATGGAGAAAGAGTAAAGGGAGTCCTCAAGCTCCATGTACCCAGGAAAATGAAACAGGGCCCTTATATTTGGATTCTTCTTGCCCTCTGTACAGCAATCCTTTCTTCAAGAGTAGAGCAGTACCTTCTGGAATGATGGTCTAGACTAAGCCTACCTAAAGGCAAGTTAGAGAACCTCCTTATGACCACATAGAAAGGCAGAAGAAGGTTTGAGTAATCTTTCAGGGTTTTATGACAGGCCTTGGAGAAGAGGACTCCAATTTCCATGACCCACCTTGGGGAGAAGGAGTCCGATTGTTATGGCCTGCCTTGAGGGGGAGGGAGCAGAGAACCAAGGGCAGGAAGTGGCCAGAATGCTGCTTCCAGTGTCCTTCCAGGCAAAGCATGCCAAGGTGTTGAAGTTTAGGCTGTCATTCTCTGAGCCCCAGTGATAGTGAAAGTACATAAATGATTCTAGAAATCTTTTTTCTTTTCAGTGCTGGGGACAGAACCCAAGGCTTGGTGCATGTGAGGCAAATGATCCCCATGAGCTACACCCTGGTCCAGTGATTCTAAAACTCTACAAATGATGCTATTATTAATATGTTGGTGCCTCTTCATGTGCTGGAGTTGACAAGAACTCTGCCAAGCTCAGGTCATGAAGAAGCTGCACAAATCCACTATGGGTCATTTTATGTTTCTCTTGGTGCTCTCTGAACATCAATTAGAACCAAGGGAGCCTTTACCAAACATTTCAAATACAGATAAGTCAGAAAGTTTAAAACAGATCATTGATGGCATGGGAACAGGTTTTTAGCTTTTGTGATATCAGAACTCTTGAGTGAGACAGAAATGCTTTTGGGGAAAATGAAATCAGAAACATTGGTTGAAAATCTCCAAATTTCTGCCAGCATGGCAAAGTGACAAGGACAGTCTTTCTGATGAGTTTGGGAACCCAAAAGTCTTGTGAGTAATCACAAGGGCCTGAGATGCATGTGGTCATCTCAGGAAAGGTAGGCGTACTTTACATAAACAAATGTTAGACTAAATAAAGATTTCATGTTAAGGGAAAGAGTAGAATTATAGATTCACATGGCTCCTCTTATTCACACTACTTTAAGAAGGGCTCAAGGACAACAGGTTCAAAATGATTGTCAGAAAAACCCTACAGTAAATACAAAACTATACATATTTCCTTTGTATATTCTCCTCCCCTGTCTGTGTTTGATGGAGTGGAGTGGAATTGGGGTCCATGACCTGAGACCAGACAATGCACCTGTGCCAAATAGAATTTGGGCCACAGGTACAATTTTAGAAACCATATTAAGACAAGTAAAAGGAAATGTGTAAGATTCATTTAAATCAGTATATCAAAGATATTGTCATGACAATATGTAATTGGTTTACACATTAGTCATGAGATAGTTTGCATTCTTTTTCTGTGCTACGTTAGTGAAATCTTGTACATTTTGACTTACACATGACTGTTCTCTGATGTTGGTCAGTGCTGGACCAGAACAAGCAGAGCTGGTACTCACTGGTCACTATGCAGGGCAGGTGGGCTACTGTGCTGTGTGTGACTGTGAGCAAGAGGGTACCAGGCCTATTGCAGCTGGAATGTCGGTAACACTGAGCTACAACGCCAAGCCTTTTACATTTTTAAAAATTGAGTTTATTGGTATATTTTAGGGATACAGTACAGTTACATTCATTGTTAGGATCTTGTACCTCTACATGACAGGTCTTGGTTCTCATTTTTTCCCCTTGTCCCTGCCCTCCCTTCACCCCTCCTCCCCTCCCCATTTACAACCACTTTATTTCCATCTTTTCATTTTCTCACATTTTTTCTTTTCCCTTATTACCCTTCCCATACCCATCCCATCTTCCCTACACCTTTAGCCCTTTTCTTCCCATTTCACAATGTCAGTTATCTCATTAGGATCTTATGTACTATTACAGTTTATTCACACCAGAGAAACTATTCGGTATTTACACATGTGTGACTTATTTATTTCACTTAGGAGTATATCCTCAGTATGTATCCATTTTCCTATGAATGAATCTAATTTCTCTTTCTTTATGGCTGAGTAATATTCCATTTTATAGAAAAACCACATCTTCTTTATCCAGTCTCCAACTGATGGCCAAATGGGATGTTTCCAAGTTTTAGCTATTACAAACTGTGCTGCTATAAACATGGGTGGACATATATCATTGTGATATAATTCTTTTAGTTCTTTTGGAAAGATACCCAGCAGAGGGATGGATGGGTCAAATGGGACCTCTAGTCCCAGGTCTTTGAGGTTTCTCCACATTGATTCCCATAGTGGTTGCACCAGTCTGCACTCCCACCAACAATGGAGAAGGGTTCCTTTCTCCCCACAACCCCACCATTTGTTATTGTGTGATTTCTTGGTAGCAGCCATTCTTTATGGGGTGAGGTGGAATCTCAGTGTTGTTTTCATCTGCATCTCTCGAATGACCAGTGATGTGGAACATTTTTTCATATATTTACTTGCTGCTTTTATTTCTCTGTCTGAGAAGTGTTTGTTCATTTCAGATGCCCATTTTTTAATAAACTTTTACATTTAAAAATTTTTTTTGAAACAGAGTAGCACTATGTCTTCAAGTTGCCAAGGCTGAGCTTGAACTCCTGATCTTCCTCAGCTTTCCAACAACAATGCTTTTGAGCAGACTATGTGCCAAATGCCCTTCACAGTACTGGGCACATCAAGGCAGAGTTGCACAAGCTAGGCGTCACAGAGCTGGCTCCCCCGAGAGCTCTAGAGGAAGCTGCCCTGCCTCTCCTAGTGGCTGCCAGAAGTTTGTCATATTCCATTCCTTGTGGCTGTGTTGCCCCAGCCTCTGCCTCTGCCTTCACATGGTGCTCTGTGCTGTGTGCATTTCTGTGTCCTCCCCTCTTCCCTAAGGAGTCACAGGACTAAGGGCCACCCACATCCAGGATGACTATCTCAGCTAATTACTTTAGTCTTCATCAAAGACTTTAGTTCTAAATAAAGTCTCATTGTGATTCTGGGGGCACTGTTTACCCAGCACAGGCTCTGAAGGTCCCCCAGCCTTACCAGCTGCTCCCCACAATAGCTCACAGCACCCACCCCCCAACATATTTCTTGCCTGGTTAATCCTGACTTAGTGTTTGCTTCCCAGGGATCAGGACTAAAGGAGTCTGGTTTGAGAAGCTGGGCTCATTCTTGAGTGGGGACAGGAAGACCAGAGGGGTGGCCAGTGGTCAGCAGTAGCATCTGCAGGCCTGCACCTGACTGGTCACATCAGCCAGTGAACACGAGGTGGCCAGGCTGATCCAGGGGTCTGACTTGAACAGCAGAGAAGGAAGCCATGGTCACTAAAGTGAGCTTTTTGGGGAGAAGGTTTGAAGGGGTGGCATGGGTACAGGAAGCTGAGTTTGAGGAACATATGGGGCCCACAGGGAGGTGTCTGGGCTCTTGAATGACAACACGTGTAGGCCAGGCTGGCCTGGCCCTGATCCTACATCCTCCACCACAAAGGCAGTGCAGAGATGTGGTTCCCTTATCTGGAAAGTAGTGAGTAGAGAAGGGCTGAGGGCCATGAGGAATGGCCAGAGGTAAAAGCTGTGGCAGGGCTCAGGAGGAGACTTTCCATGACGCCCATATCCTGGGGAGAGTTGGCACAATGAAAGAAGGTAGGCTGGGGGACCCCCTATCTGCAGAGTCCCCACCCAGCAGGAGGGCAGGACTCAGCCTGGGCCCGCAGCCCCTTCCCCTCCAGGCTCCTTTCCAGAGTGGTGTGAGGAGCTCCTGAAGTAGCACTGCAGGTCTCACCCACTCTAGAGGGTCTGACTCACTCCAGGGAGTGAAGATGTCTGGGCCCAGAGCCTCCATATTTTAAACAAACCCGTGGCTTAGCTGATTCTCCCCACCAGGCTTCTCCAGATTATATGATCAGATTCATCCAAGCCAGATGTCACTGTCTGATTCACACCATCTACCTCTGTGGAAGGTGCCTCCCTAGCCCCTGATCAGGGCCTGGCCTCCTCCATGTGTGTGTGTGTGTGTGTGTGTGTGTGTGTGTGTGTGTGTGTGTATTACTTCAT